AAAGCCCAAGGGGGGAGGGGACCAAAACGGACAAAGAGTCCTCTTGCATCTAGCAATGGAAGCAATCTCTTTCCAGTTTCTTAGCAAGTCATCCACAGGAAAATTTGAAGCTTCCTGATTTTGTGCTGTTTTGGGCCTCCGTGGGCTTTTTGGGGAGTAGGTCTTTCTGGCTTTCTGTATTTTATTGCTAAATGGGAAAAAAAAAAAACAAATTGTGACCTTCTGAGCTTTGGAGAGCCCAAAAGACCTTGCAGGAAGACTTGGCAAACACCCCCTATAGCAATACTAATAATGGCAGCATTCCACTTTACCTCAAGAAGCCTATTTTCCAGTTTGTTTTCTCAAGGAATTCAGCTGAACTAGTACAAATTAAATCCAAACAACATCCAAGCAGTGTTTTAAAAGGCGTGGGAGGTGTATACCTGGAGGCACCCCCAAAACACCCTAAGGCATATGCCAGAGGTGTTGACACCTTTGAGGCATATGCCTCATGTGCAAGAGGCGTAAACCTCATATTCCTCTTTCATGAGGTGCGCCAGAGGTGTTATGCATCATTATTCTTCTTAATATAAAATATTTTTATTAAAAATAAAGAAAAATGAGATCCTCCTTCCTCTCCCTCCTCCTCCCCCACCCTCTTCTTTCTCCTCATCCCCCTCCTCTTAAGGAGGCATATGCCTCCTTGTGTTCAGGAGGCTTACGCCTCTTGTGTTTTGAACTACGCTTCACGCCTCTAGGTGGTGGAAAGCCTCACATGACACCTTCATGTTTTAAAACATTGCATCCAAGCACAAAGAAATACACATGCACGCCATGAAAAACAATAATTTCAACATAGGGACCTCTTCAACCTGAAGATCAGCCAGGAGACTTGATATCCAGAAGAGAGGAATGAATCCTATCAGGACAAGACTTGAATTCAGAAGAGGAAAATGAACTCTTTCAGCACAAATAATATTACCACAATTATGGAGGTTTCACTAGCTGTAAAATAATTAGTATAGTGTCTGCTCACTAGGAGCAATTGATAATAGCAGCCATACCTAGTTGCCAATGCATCAATTTCATCAATAAAGATAACCGACGGTTTGTTTACCTGCATGAACAAATTGTAAAACTCTTAAGCGATGTTTCAACGTAACTGCATCATGCACCAGGTGACCAATCAAATAAGCACTTAACCTCTAAGATTTTAGGGTGCTGTACACTTTCATTACAATTAAAATCATGTATACAAGTCAATATTTAATTGGGTTCCTAAATATATCTAAAATGCATCTGAAATCACTAGTTGTAAGTTTGTTACATAGCTTACTTTTCAAACTACATAATGAACAAGTACAGTCAGACCTATGGACATCATAGAAACACCTAGGTAGTTCCAGATTTCTATTACCTGGGTGGTAGCCAATGCAGCAGTTGATGTTTAGAAGATATCTCTTGGGAAGAGAAATACGTAGTGCACAAATCTGTCTTGCAGTTGAAACTTGAAAACTATCCACATGAGGTCTGCAGTCCTCCTTGGGTGGAGGCTTTCATGTGGATAGTATAATTGGACATCATATTAATGACCAACCGTTTTGGGTAAGGTTCATTGGGGAGCCTAATGTACAATGTGTTGGGGTAGAAGGGAAAACTTTGGATGTTTGGAAAAATAAAACAGCCCAGGCTGTTTTGGGAGCCTCATGCACATGAACGTTATCATAAGTGCAGGCAAAAGAATATCTACAATCAATATTCTTCTGGCTGTTTTTTCCAAACAGCCAAAGTTTTTCCAAAGTAGACAGTGTAGCTGTAGGTCTACAATCTCTTGCTCCCAAAGAGATGTAATTTTCTTTTCCAAGTAGAAAGTTTCTTAGAGAACTTATCCGGAAGTTACATGATCTAGGATTACCTCCAGACAGCCCAAGGTAAGTGAACAGCCAATCAGAAATTAGGCAATTCAATGGCTATTTTGCACAGATTAAGACTGGATAAATCTCTTAATTATAAAAGATTTATTGGTAGAAGAGGATTCAAGGGTAGCTGTGCACTTGTGCACTAGTTCAAAACCAATAGCAATGTGTTTCTTGGACATGCAGCACATATTGAGAAAAACATTACAATTGGCTAGGGGGATTGCAGGCAACATTTATATGGACTTAAGAGATCAATCTATAGCTTAGTTGATACATTAGCTAGGCAGGGGTGAACAAAAATTTTTATGTATTGCGGGGGGTTCATCCATGAAAATTGATTGCAATTACAGTGTTTTGAAACATTCTTTTTCACACATCAATAAGACTTATGGTCATTAATCAAACAAGAAAGGAAGAAAGAAAGAAAGAAATAGATTAGAGCACCCACAAGTACGATTGCATAAGCTAGATGCACTAAAAGAAAGTAGAAAACTATAAACCTTAAGCCATCAAAGGCAACCACAACAGTTATTAGTTACCAGCATGAAAAAAGATATGCCAAATGAAGGGGCATGGGCATATGATTACCTACAGCATGTTGCCACAATCTCATGCTTTCTTAACAAAAGAGAAGAAACACTGATTTAATAATTACACTCTACAGCACTAACATAAATGTAATGTATATATACTTGTATAGTACAAAACAGCATTAGGATAGATTATACAATCAGTGATACCTACTGTTGTGCCAACCTCATGCTTTCTTAACTAGAAAAAGAATAAACAATGGGATTACAATTATTCTCTGTAGTACTCACATGAAAATGAATCTAATGTGTGAATACAGTACATAATTTCATTAGGATAGAACATCACTTTTTATTATTTATTGCTTATGCTTAAATTATGTGTAATATCAGCATTAGAATGCAGTTCCAGTGACTTTGTTACTSAAACAAACAACCTTTCCTTGAAAGTGGAAACATATAAATGAAGAAAGCTAATGTTGTTTGACCTTTGATGCACAGGCAATACCAATTTATTCAAGATTAAACGTTGGAGCAAAGAAGTCAGCTAAACTAACCACAAATTGTGACAGTGGATGAGAAGGGTAAGACAAAATACTAAATGAAAACTAAAATCACCTTTGCTCTCTTAAATAGATCCCTTATACGGGCAGAACCAACACCAACTAAGACTTCAACAAATTCTGAGCCAGCCATTTGATAAAATGGAACACCAGCTTCACCAGCTATGGCTTTGGCCACCAAGGTCTGAAAACCATGAGAAAAAAATAGTGAACCCACAGGATACAATTGGTAATAGACCTCACAATTCTTTCAAGAATGTAACCTACCTTTCCACATCCAGGAGGCCCCTCCAGAAGAACCCCATGAGGAGGTTTGATCCCCATCTTATCAAATAATTCTGGATTCTTCAAATACCTGACCAACTGCCCCACAGAATATGAATTACGATTTGTATTGCTTCATCTCACAGTAAATGCATGCATGAACATGGTGCATATTGATTGGAAAATGAAATAGAAACGAAAGGACATAAAGAGATAAATAAAGTCAATCAGCATAATCACATAGCTGCGAACTTGCCAAACCAAAGGGACCTTTCCCAATACAAAACTAAAAGATTGCTTCTTTAACCTTCAAGAAATAACAGATAAATAAAAAGTACCAAATGAAAAACTGTATAGCAATTTGACAAAAGCCTTCAACCTTGAAAACTCAAAATTTCTCTTTGATAAGTAACCATGCATTATGTTAATGGTTAGCATGACTCCTGCACAAGGATGACATGCACAACCAATCAAAAAATAATTAGTTCCCTGAGCATAATTCATGAGGATCTCAAAAAATATTTATGTTTCTCTACTCACGGTTATAACAGCAGATAAGCAACCATTGGAATTTTTTAATGTTTCAAAAAGGTAAGGTAATCTTTAATCAGTTACCAAAGATTTGTAACAACCACTACAATTGTTATAAATTTATAGGACATACTCAAGCACGAGATGATTGGTTTAACTTTAACATAAGACCAGGCCTTTTCCACCTTGTGTTGACTGAGCATAATATATCTGCTCCTTATTTACTCTATGTTTTAACCTTTTTTTTCAGCATGGAGTTCTCCACCGGAAATGAAGTTCTTATCCATTGAAAGAAAGGGTATGATTAACCATATAAGTGTGCACAAGTCAGTTATCGAAGCAATGTCCCATCCCTGTTAGCCAACATGTGACCTGTTCTAAGAACTCTCAAAAAAAATACATATATATATATACCTCCTGGAGTTCCTCTACCGCTTCCTCAATCCCTGCCACATCACTAAAGCTGACTCCGGTTGAACCCTGAGGGAATATCATTGAGAGAAGGTATAAGCATTACAATTCCTGATTTATTATTACAATGTCGAAGAATGTGCAAAGCATGTGAGGCATAAAAACTAACATCAACACGAGCTTGTGGTTTAGACTGTCCAAATTCAATGCCCTGCCATATATCCTGTTCAGGACACATCCACCATATATTAAAACATTATAACCAAAATTTGGTGCATAATTAAACTGATCAAAGAATATCGGTAAATCATGATTTTGTATGAAGCACAGTTACCCATTTCCTAAAATTCTTTGGTCTTCTTGAAAGAGTAAACCGGACAAGAAGGACCATGGTCAAAAAAACAATCATGATTGGTTTCAACATCTCGAGACTGGATGATACACCACCAAAAGTGTAAAACTCTTTCAACTTTGAAACAATCCCTCCATCAGCAAAGACATCTACAACATTATCCAAAATTCTCTCTGCAATACCAAAAACTAGACCTAGCACAAGCTTAAGAAATGGTTTTGTCAGAGGCCAGATGATATATACAGCCACCACAAACAGGAAACTGGTGACAGCAAATACTGCTGATGCCAGGAAACCTCCAACAACAACTGCAGCAGCAGCCATTAAAGTTGTCACCATCCCAAGCTCCACCATAATTCTGCTGGATATGGAAGACGCCACTGGATGAGGGTACTCTGGCAATTTGCCCACATAAGACTGCATGATAAGGATCAAATTTTAGAACAAGTAAATAAACAAGAAAAGGAAAGAAAAGAAGATGAAAAGAGAAATGTATATCAATTGAATAAGCATAGTGCACATGATGCAAACAGTATCTGCAAGAAATATAAAACAGAAAATAAAAAGCCTCTAATAATAAATCCTTGAAAAAAATCAATAAGCAATGCACAACTGGTAGCATAAGAAGACATGGTTTTAAGTAACACTAATGTTAATAAAATTAGAAGCTCAATGTGATGTTTGCCAATGTTGACTGATTAGAACAGGACTTTCTATGTTTTACACCTTGTAATCATCATCACTATCATTATCATTATTTGTCTAGTTCCCGTGACTAGGATTGGTTGCAAAGATACTCTTCCTTACTTCCTACATTCCAGTTTATCTGTCTAGGTTTATATCTTCTTTTATAGACTGAATCTTCAAATCTTTCTTACTACCTGAATCAGATTCTTTTTGGAATCCCCCTGTATTTCTAGAACCTTCAATTCATGCAAAAAATCACTTTTCTTCAGAAGTTAGTCATTGGTTTTCGGTTTTCACTTACCATGGCCAAACCATTTCCATGAACTCATGAACTCATTTCTATGATCCCATAGTTCCATCAAATAAATTCATATGTAATCCTTTAAGTCCTACGACCCATCTATCTTTAACATTTTCATTTATGCTGCACGCCGACATTCATTTATCAATATATTGTTTCTTGATTTCCCTACATTCTACTTGAGAGAGAATGGTTCCCTTCAGTCGTGCTTTGCATAGGGCACTCCTTTTCTGAGCTTGTCCTGTTTTCTTCCCCTTCTTACTTTATCACCCAGCTTCCATTAGCTTGCACAAATGCATAAAGTAAACTTTGTAAGCTTTGACAGGCAAAGTAACAAAATCATTGATTACCGTACTGTGAGTCTCGATTTCATATTGAGGACCTCTGTACTCCTCCAATACAATCCTTGCTTGATTCTCACTTAATTTCAATGCCCTATTGGTATATGGAAGATATAAAAAGATTGATGAATATGTAAAAAAGCAAATATAGCACTGTATAAGGAAAATTAATAAAAATAATAAGTAAATTGATACTTGCCACTTGGTTCGTTGCAAACTCTTGTCGCCGGGAATTTCTTTCAGATTCACGACGAAATCACGGTACCCGTAATCACTGGAAACAAGTGCTTTGGAGGTTAATAATTCAACCTTATTGTTCGCCATGGCCTTCATAAAATCTTCAAAACTCATCTTCGGAAGCTCCTCTAAATTCCTGTCGAACTCCTCTTCCTCAGATAGAGTGGCTTTGAATACTGCTTCAGGAACATAAAGCTTCCCTTTGTACTCCCTCAGTATATCCTTGAGATATACGGGTTCTGATGATTCTTCCTTCTTACCGCCAACTTCATCTCCCTGCTTCCCGAACCTCGATTTCTGATACAAGCGTTTCGCAACTCCAAATATCCCATCGACACCTTTACTCAAATTCTGCTTTTCTTTAAGGGTGTAAAAATTGTTACCAACAAGAAACCTGGGTTCTACCTGGCTAGGGTTTTCTTTCAAAACCCTTGTTACAAAATCATCTCGACTACTACTATCTGTCTGCGACACTGAGTCCGAATCCGATTTCCTAAAAACAGCATACGAACGAGAATTAAACCTCGTATAAAGCCTTGTTCTTCCAATGTTTCTACCGGAGCCCAACCGTTTCGGGCGCCCAAGAAAGGAAATCGAGGTTATCTGCAACGTCTGAAAGTTGCCGTTGCATTGGGAATAAAAAATCTTAGCCGATAACGGATTCTGACACGCGTTCATCGTTGGAATAATAGCACTGAGTTCATCAAATTGGGGTTTTAGACGCTAAGAACTCAGCATTTTATTTGAGGGTTTGCTTGGGTATCAGATAGTTGGGATGAGAAACGAGATTATGAGAACAGAAGAAGGAAGGAGTACTGAGAACTGAGAAATGGATGTTCTCTTAGAACTGCTTCTCCCTCCCGTTTATCCAATTTTTTTAAGCGGGCCTCGGGCCTGTGACATTTTGTAGCTGATTCCTGATTGTGATTCCCAAACATTTTGGCTCTTTTGCGTTTGAACTCGACGGGATTCAATTCCTTCGAGTTCACACATTTATGCGCGCAATGCGCTACGTCAACTCATTTTACCCTGCCAAAAGAAAACTCATTTTAATCTGAGCTCCCGTAACTTTTGTTTTTCGACAAAGAGATGATGTACTTCGTCTCGTCTGACTTGAACTCGATTGAAAATTCCTCAATTCCTTCGAGTTCACGCTTTTACGCGCCACGTAAATTTAGCCACCAGTAAGCTAACATTACTAATAGCTTTCAAATCCTAGTACTAGATGATGGAAATTCAGACCCACTCGACGTAGGTAAGATGATCCTCTCCCTTTATATCTTTGTGATGTATGAGAAGGCATTGACTATAACTAGATACATTCAAAATAATTATTGATGAGGGCAGATTTAGCCCTGACATCATGACACGTGGCTAGCGATATACCTCCACCGACCTAATGGAGATTTAGCTGGCGACCTACCTCTATCGATTTAGGGCCCGTTTGGCATGTCTGTCTATGCAATCTTTCAGCTGTCAAGCCGGGAAGACCAATTTTCGGCCTATTTCCATTTGGCACGTAGAAGATCTAGCTGCCAAAAAATGGAACGCCGAAAAGACACGAAAAGCCAATTTTGGGCTGATTTCAGAAAGCTCTAAATGAAGCTTCTTGCGTCTTTCGCATTTTATTCTCGTGCAAAAAGACACGAAAAGACACAAAAATGTGTGTGTTTGCCAAATGTGCTTTGGGTTTCTCAAATCTTCATGCAAAAGCTTAATGCATCTTTTGATTGTCAGAGCTACCAGAAGATCTTCCCAAAAAGACGCACCAAACGGGCCCTTAATGGAGACCCAGTTGGTGACCTACCTCCGCCGACCTACTGGAGACTTGGTGACCTACTAGAGACCTAACAACCTACATCCGTCAACCTACTGGAGACCTGGTGATCTACTTCTACTGACCTACTAGAGACCTAGCAACCTACCCCCGCTGACCTAATGGAGACCCAACTGGTGACCTATCTCCGTTGACTTGGCGACCTACCTCCACCAACCTAACGACCTACCTCTGCCGACCTAGCAACCTAATGGAGACCCAACTGGTGACCTCATACACAAATTGGTAAAGCAGCTAGCAGCATACCCCGTATAGGGTCAACCTGTAATACCTCGTCGTTATCGGTCCAAGGGACCTCGGTGTGAGGAGCAACCTCCTCGAGGACTTGCCGACCTGACTGAGGTCCAAGTAGCAACCTACGAGACGTGCTTACCAACCTCTTCCTTAAGCAAGTTATTGTTTCCAACTTCTCCTGGACCACAATGCTCGACCATTACACCCATTTTTCCATATCGTTTGCATCGGAGTTAATTGAACGGGCTCTATCTCTCTCCTTCGAACATAGCGGACGTAGTTTCCCGGGAATCTCAGATGCATTACATGAAGCTCCTAGTTTCTTATGCCTATACAAAGGTCTCATTTCCAACCTCATGAGGTATGCGCAATTTAGCTCTTACAGCTCTCTAGCTCTTTCGCTTTTAACTCTTTCAAAAGTCTTTAATTTGTTGACTTAAGCATCGGTTTTTCCACCCCAAGTAAAGCAGCCCAGGCACTCTCTGCAGGTCRTCTCAATAAACTATACAGCTCGTCATTATTCAACTCAGCATCCAAGTCACCTACCAGTAGGGAGCTGCCAGATCGCGCATCATCAACTATGAAAGTGGAAACAATTGGCTAGGACTAGGAGATATAAAAAATTGCCCTTTGGTCCCCTTGCTCCAATTTCATGATGTGTGGGAGGCATGGCTACCTCGAAAATCAAGGATATCTTTGATAATAACTGTTGCATCAGAACAATCTACAATTTATCAAAAATCGACAACTATATTGTCCAGTAATCTTACCCATTTATAAAAAAGAAGAAAATAGATGAATCGTCCAATACCCTAATTTCATATTTCCAATCCTATCCTTTTAAAACGCCTAAAGGGAATAGAACAAGTAGAGTAGTCGATATCCCAATATTACCCCTACGCTACAAATGTTTGGGAGAATGGGACAAGTAGAGTAGTCAATATTCCAATATTACCGCTATTACCCCTAGGCTACAAATGTTTGGGCGAACACCCTGATTTGTCCCATTCGTAATAGCTGGGCAAACTGTTACCAACATTCAAAAATAGGAAGTATCTTATCCATTTGATGAATGGTTTCCCACCCCTCTACAAGGCTGCAAATGCAAATTGTCTTATTGGGTGAGCATCATGTTATTGGCGTTGGAAAAAGGCTTCTCCATTTGATGAATGGTTTTGGTGCTAAAAGGCGAATGAGAGAAAGGTAGTAGAAGTGTTTCGTCATTGATACTTGTCACGTATGGAACTCCAAATGTTTAGTTTCTTTGATTTCAAAGATAATCAGAGTTATTGCATTAATGGGAAGAATACTAATCGGAATGCATGCCACCGAAATACTTCTCAATAATGTCAGGATTTTCCCCATCTCGGTGGTACTTTCTAACCTTTGTTTTTTCTCATATATCTTTTTAAGTTTAGGTTTTATAAATAGATTTCCTATTTTGTGTTTTTTGTGATTATTGTTTTGGTAATTTATTTTACTGTTTTGGTTTACCAATAGATTTTTATTGATCAAGTATAGGTTTTTAGTTCATCAACACCGAAACATATTCAAAGAGGGTTAAAATCAATATCAGTTTCGGTGGTTCAACTTATGGTAGTTTTTCAGTATTTCGGGTTTTTTAGCTTGGACCTCCCAACAATGTAGTTTGGTGCAACATAATGATAGGTAACCATTTTTAGCAGTAAGTGGGAAATTTCAAAAATTCTTACTTTTTTTTATTTTTCTCCACTATAACTTAAGTTTCTTATGTTTCTTTTTCTTTTTCTCTTGTGAAAATCTTAAAATTTTGAGATTTCAGACTCTTTTCTATAACATCAAAATACTTTATAGAACTTTGACTAAAATAATAACTAAAGTTACAAGTCATTCTCATATATCTTTTAGGTTTTTATTGAATGTAGCTGCATTACTCAATTGATTTTATTCAGGTTTTATAAATAGATTTCCTATTTTGTGTTTTCTGTTCCTGTTTTTTGTGATTAAATTAAATAAATTGTTTTGTTTTGGTTATTAGCAATAGATTATTGAATCATGAATGGAATTTTGACTGTTTTGGTTTAACAATAGATTTTTATTGATTAGGTATAGGTTTTTTAGTTCATCAACACCGAAGCATATTCAGATAGAGTTAAAATCAATATTAGTTTTCGGTGGTTTAACTGATGGTAGTTTTTCAACATTTCGAGTTTTTTAGCTCAAGCCTCCAGCATAATGATAGGTAAGGATTTTTAGAAGCAAGTGAGAGATTTAAAAAATTCTTACTTTTTACTTTGATTTTTCTCCACTATAACTTAGATTTCTTATGTTTCTTTTTCTTTTTCTCTTGTGAAAATCTGAAAATTTTGAGATTTCACTCTTTTCTAGAACATCAAGATAGTTTATAGAGCTTTGACTAAAATAATAACTAAAGTTACAAGTCATGCAAAATGTTGGCCAGTCCCTTGATCTTCATATTAATTGTTTGGTTTAGAAGTATTTGGATGATTAAATACTAAAATATATAAGCTTACACTCTTCTTTATTCATTTATGATTTTTTTATATTTTGTTTATTGTGTTGTACTTTTTAGTTGATTAAATTTGCATAAAGAAAAATAAAATAGGAAAAGTTCTTTCAAATACACTTAAAATTAACCAAGTTATACTGCTTTTCTATTCATTATAGTTGATGTGGGATGGACCTGAAAAGAAAGGAGAAATAAGATAAAAATAACTTAAGGAATTAGTACCTGAACTTATCCAACAGCTAATAGTTATAGGAACTATTGGAAAAGAAGTTCTTTTAGCTACATTTAAATTAACCAAGTTATACTACTTTTCTATCCATCATAGTTAATGTGGGATGGACCTAAAAAAAGAAAAAGATAAAAATAACCTAGGAATTAGCACATTAACTTATCAAGCAACTAATAGCTATAGGAACTATCTGGAGTTAGCACCAAGAACTTCTTGAAGGAATCAATGCCATCAAGAAAATTAGATAATTTCAATAGTAGAAGTAGAAAGTTCGAAATTTATTATTTGATGTAAAAAATGAGGATGCCTTATATATCTATATACATGTCATTGTCCATATGTTTGTACCTTTTTACATGAAGAATGCATTCTTCCATGTGAAGCATCTGTCCTGTGTACAATTTTGTTCTTTCATCTGGCTCTCTCAATGTACAAACAAGTGATGTAGTATGAGGTGGGGTTTCTACAAATTCAGTGATGGGCTTTGTGGGGTGAAGGAGGGGCTTTGGGTGATTCAGGATGAAGAATAGGGATGGAGAAGCATGTGGAGTGTGGACAGCTTGCTATCCACAAAAGAATGAACCAAAAATTAGAAATAAAGATAAGAGCTTTTGCTGTAATGACAAACAACATAGAGAAAAACTACTTAGAGAATAAATAGTTGAGAAAAAAAAAAAGAAATTCTGGAAACAACCATAATTCACTAAACCAGACTTTATTTACTCTATTTATGAACTCATCATAAGAACTTGGGTGTCMCTTTAGGCTCCAATTTGAACTCAAAAGTTGACCCAAGACAACTTTCAGTGCTTTAAAACAAAACAAACCCATGGATAACCCAACCCATAAGGACTCTTAACTTTTAAAGTAACTCTAATAATGCATTCCTAGTCCAACTAAAACTAACTTAATGTAAAGAAACACAAAATTACTACAAATGGTACATCCACAAGAAAAATAGGTAAGGATGTTAAACATTTGGAGTATTGTTTTCCCATACAACTATAGCTTGAACTATAATTGACCTGTGATGTTAAATGAGCCCACTTAGGATCCAATGCATAAATGCAAACCAAAACTTGC